AGTTTGCCTGTAGTTACTTATTATTAAAATAATGAGAATAATATAACTTTAAACAAAAAAATATTGGAAAACTCATGTGACAATGAGTCAACTCTCTTATAGAAAATTTTAAAACCAACAAATATTATACTAGCTTTGCTAATAGCATTTTATTGAGCTCACATTCATTTTGTAGCAGGATTTGCGCATAACACAGGATTAAATGCTTCCAAACAAAATGAAACAGCATTACATACAGCATGAATGGAACTATTTGTAAACACCCATACATGAATTTGCAAAATATCTCATTTCGATGAGAAATGTTTTATAATTATTTTATTCACAGACTTTTTGTTAAAAAGAATAATTAAAACTATGTCATTTTTCGCATAAATTTATTAAATTTTAGGTTGTTTAAAAAACCATTTTAAAATCTCTTGAAAATGCATTTGAAAAAACATTATTTATACTGTAAAATGTTATTACTATTTAATTTATGTAAAAAATAATTATTTTCTTTAAGCTTCAAACTAGAGTTTGTACTTTATAAATAATATTGCAATGAAATCATATATGACTGTAAAACAATTTTATTTAAAATCATAAGACCATAACATCATAAAATTATTTGTACATTTTTTTTTTACATCAGCCTCAACTACAAGTTAAGTTATAAAGTTAATATAAATAAATCTAATATATACTCATCTAATATACACTTCATAAAAATACCATAGAGCATTAAAATAAATAACTCATTCATTCGCAAAAAAAGCATCTGTTAACTCAGATGTATTGTGATTCTGGGGTTATGTGCTATAAAACAGAAAACAATCACTTAGCACTTACTTGAGATATGGGCAACAAGAAAATGACTTGGCAGGAATCCCATAAAACTTTAGGTAAGCATTTAATTGTTTTTGATAGCTTAAATTATAAAAACTCATCTAAGCTGGAAGAGTTGCTTTTAAACATTGACTGAATTTCTGAAATTGTTTTTAGAGCTGCTCGCTCAGCCATACTCCAGTTTTTTAGAGCTGCTCGGAACTCTGTTTCAATTATATCAAGCTGAATCTGAGTTCTTCAGAAAAAATTTCCTCAATTTCTTGTTCACACAGGGTAAATAAGTTTGGTCTTTACTTTGCGAGTGGAGAAATTTTCTTATTTTCTGTATCAGAGTCAGCAACATGAACTGAAAAAGAGTTAGCCTGTATTTTTTTTTTTTTTTTGATTTTATTGAGTTCATAATTCTTATATTTATTTGCCAGTTGAATCAGTTTGTAATAGACTTGCCAAAGGTCCTCAGATATAGCTATATAAGGAAGTATTATTATGTCCTTAATTATACGTTTTAAAAAATTATATAAAAAAAAGTTATAATAAAGAAGTAAACATTTTCTTCACTCGTCATGAGCATGCAGCCATGCCTAATATCTACATAAAATGTTGCAAGAAATAGCAAATTTTTTCGAAGCATGTTTTCTTTATTGATCATTCTTTTTTGAAAATCTTTGGCAAAGTCACTGTCTTTCTTGTCTAGTTCACACTTTATTGAATTCCAATCAAAAAGGAACTCACCTGCAGTGATATTCTCATGCTGATGACAAAGAGTAAGATTTTGTGCCATTTGCAAGATATTTCTTAATTCTTCCCAGATCCCCCAAAATTATGGTTTGGGGGTGTTAAAGTTTTACTGGTCGAATCTAGAAGAATAAAATATTTCAACAAAAGTATGTATGAATCTGTAAACTTAATAACAAAAACAGGGTTGAACTTAAAAACTAAATATAAAAAAAGGAAATAAAAACATAATTACATTGAAATAACAATGCTAAAAAAAACCTGTTGTTAAAAAAGAAAAAAAAAAATTTTTTATAGTTTAATGATTATTACTTAAAATATACAATAAATGCAGCAAACTATGATTTGTCTCTTGACCATATTGAACTGAACAACAGATAGCCTGATCTAAAATTGGCACTAGATATGGGGCTTGGTTTCTGAAGAAGTTGATACACTTTCAATTTCTTGCAGTTTTGGCAACTTTTCTTGCATGGATTTTTATTAAAGGCTTTTAAAAATGCATCTTTAATGGCTAGCTACAAAGTTGCTAAGTTTTAAGTGAATAAAAAATTTGGGCAAGTTTGCTTAAATTATTACGAAAAGCTATTACTCCAAAAATTACGCCGAGTAAAAGCAATTGTTTTTTTTATTTACTCGGCCTGTTTACTTTTTATTTTTTAGTTCTAGTGGACCAAGTAAAAGAGTGGACCAAGTAAAAGACAATGAATCAATAATTCTAACACTGACTGGGAAAAATAATTTTGTTTTGTTAACTTGAAAAATAAATACTTTTGTTTGTTGTGTGGTAGTAGTATTGTAGTACTAAAAAACCTTTCATTGATGGTGAGTTGTTTAAAGAACTATTTTGACTGGTGCCAATTGTTTATTATATTGATTTTCTAACAAATGTGATATTGTCCCAGCAATACAAGACTTACAGTCATCAATAACACTGTAAATTCAACATACAAACTCAGTTAAAACCGACTTGGAATTATGTTACTGGTTCTCACTACAATTTGTTGAGTATATATCATACACTGCACTGTTAGCAGTTATGATAAAAATGGTATTTAGTAAATTCACAGTAAAGAGGATATGCTGCAAATATTACCTATGAAAGGACAGATATGGAGTGAGAACACTTAAAAAACATTTAAGCCATACACCAACTCAATAAATATGTCTTTGTGCATGCTGTCTGCAATAAACATCAATGGAGCACAAGCAATAGTAGATAAAAACAAAAGATTTATTGCCCTCTGCAAGAAGGATGAATCATTATCAAAATCTATGTCCGACCGCTGTATTATCCACCAGGAAGCACTGTGTTGTAAAATATCACCATTTGAATATGTTATGAAAATAATTACAAAAATAATCAATTCTATTCAAGCACCACCTTTGCAACACTAACTTTTTAAGGCATTGTCAGAAGGTACTGAAGATAAAAAACATGATCTTTTTTTGCCTACTGAAGTACGTTGGCTCAGTAAAGAAAGAAATTCTTACAAGAATTGTGAGTTTTAATAAAGAAATAAAAATATTTATAAACAATAATTAGGAAAATTATGATGAACTAGCTGACTATTGCTGACTGAATGATTTGGGATTTATCACAGACATTATGGAAAAAGTAAATTCTTTAAATTTGGAGTTGCAGGGGAAAAACAAAAACATAGCTGAAATGATAAGTTCAGTAAAGCCATTTGAAGCTAAATTGGATTTGTTGATATTGTTGACTTTTGGAATACAGTGGACAGAGACAAAATTTTTGAAAAAAAGCGGCATATAAAGTTGAATGATCTTTCGGTTTGAAATATTTATGCTAATCATTGTTTTCAAACAATGATCTTAATAAAATCAAGATATAGACCTCAACTCACCGATGAGCATCTTTACGATTATTTGCTAACAAGATTATCATCATACTCTACCAATTATGAGGCACTGGCTAATAATGTGCAATGCCAAAGATCACATTGACCTAATGATATTATCTTTTTTTTATAAAATCTTTTCTTGTGTTTGTTTTTTGTTTACGTTTTGTAAATAGATTTCTCTGTGTGTATGCAATTTTAACAACAATTTTATAATTTTGAAACATTTTCGCTTATTATTTATTAAAAAAACTATAAATATAGGAAAATAAATTATGGGAAAATGAGAAGCTGTGGAAGGAGTTTGTCAATTGAAAATAGGTGGTGCCAGCTACCTAACTGATGTGTTAGAATATGCTCTAGAGAACAAAAGGTTGGGAACCCCTTGGTTAGAGTAACGACATGGCTTGTTTTTTTCTGTATTTCATCTGTATTTCAACTGAATAACACAATTTTTTTGTGAAATGTACCCACAAGCAGTGCGTTAAAATGTAATGCCATTTAAACTTACTTTAAAATTATTTAGTAATTAATATGATTTTATAATCAGAGATACATAATACCAGTTTTCAACTTTTATGCTGTACTATTTTTTTTAGAATTTTTTCAAAATTTTCTTCGTTTTCCAATTTTTTCATTGCAACTACCAATTTTGGTAACATTAGCAGGCATCTTCTTTATCACCTCTCTTACAACAGGCATTTCATTCTTTCCTTTTGTCTTTAGATTTACTTGCAAAGAAATCTTAAATCAAGCAAATATTTATTTTGTTACTTGTTACTTGCATGTTTTTCATGAACTGAACAAACTTTCTGTAGCTCTCTAAATCATCCTAGCATCTAGAAACTGCCTTAATCCATTGATTAACATCTTCCTCAGAAACACCAACAACGTTAAAAAGCTTTCCCGACTAACAAGGTTAGAAAATGTCAGATTACTGCCCAAATTAAAAACCTATGTGAGTGGACTTTGTCTGAATTTCTCTTTCAAGAACAACTAGTTGTTCATTTGAGGTGTGTGAGGCCATGTGTGAGGTTTTAAGCTTTTTATTAGGGCATTTCTAAGATCATACTTCCTAAAGCAAAAAGATTTCTTCTGCTCAAATGATTCTTTTAACAAGTTGTATCTTGTAGCAGCCTCTTCTCCAAGATTTTATAATTTTTAGGATCCATGCTACATACATAACTGTTATGAAGAAGCTGGCTTCTATAAACTTTTCCTCTTAATCCACTGGTAATATCTTGTGGGTAACTTTGGTCATCTGAATTGTTAAAGAATACATTTCATCAGCCATGAACCTTGGATCATGCATTGCTCAAGGCTCTTTGTGCAACATTTTTTTTCAACTTATCTATGATTTCTACATATGTAATTGATTCACCTTGTTTCTCAATGCTTACTGTTAGTTTTTATAAAAAATTTATAGAGAGATATTACCTTTTTCAATATTAACATTTGCAGCATTAAGAATACTAGTTAGATTAATGAAATGATCTCTATGACTTATTCTGTATCTCATAGCAGAAGCAGATGTTGCTTCAATAAGTTTTTTAGTAGTAATCTTTAGGAGTATCTTTTTGTTCTTAATCTGTCTACAAGAAACATAATTAGACTTTAGACATTTGAATCATATTTAGAAACTGAATACTTAGATGTAACATCTTCATTTTCAGAAACCTAACCTTCCACTGTAACATACACTTTTTTTTGGAACTCTGTCTATTCTCTTTCTCCTTTCCGATTGAATTTATAGCTTTTGTCTGACTTCAGATATAAGTAGTACCTGGAATACCTAAAATAATTATATTATGAGAGTTTAAATTTAATTTTGAGTAATGTAATTTAAAATTAAAGAGAACAAATTTACGTAATTAAGTTTTCAAACATAATATTAAAAAGTATTAGAACCTTAAACTTTTCCAACAGTAGGAAGCGCTGTTTTACACAAAAATTGGACTAAATTAAAAAAACTACTCATATAACATGCCAGGAAAACATAGTTATGGATATTGTTAAATGATTAGTTATAAATTAAACACGTTGATAAAACAAAATGTTGTAATTTGTTTCTTATTATTATCTACAAAAGGATTTAATCTATACGAATAATTATTTTAAGATTGTGTTTAATGCACGTTAAGAAATTGTTATTGGCACTTGTTAAAAGTAAGTTCCTCATTAAAAAGTTTGTTGCAAAAGCAACTTTTGTTTGTTTGTTGAGATATTTTTACAAGCATTTTAATTAATTTATAAGTTAAGAAAAAATTTCATGTATCTAAACTGCTATGCTTTTACAGCAATTTTTTATTCAATATTTAAAAAAAATAAAAATTTAGCATTTCGTTAGCAGAGTAGATCGGAAGCCAATAACATATGACATAATTTGTCATAATAATATATTTTTAGTTCATAAAATATTGAGTTAACAAAATATTTCAATTTATTTTTAGCCATTTTTAATTCTTTTTTCATCAAAAGTAATAAAACTAACCAAAAGCAGATATTTTTAAAATAAAATTTTCAGATAAACAATTCCTTACATAGAACTTAATTTTAAAATGAAAAGCACATACCTTTTTTAAAAACATGAGGATATTTTTCGTTTGGAAAGACAAGAAATCCTATATTTAATAAATCAAAACAAACTAAATAAAAAGTCTTGAAAGATTGTATTTAAAAAATTATGTTTTAATTGATTACTCATAAGCATACAACAAACAAAATATAACTTTTGCTGATGTAAATCATAGTTTAAATTAGTTTATATTTCAATATAAGCAAATTAATTTATAAAACAAATTAATATATAAATCAAATTAACTTATATAACAATTTAATATATAAAACACTAATTTATATTTCAATATAAACAAAGATAAGTTTATTAAGAAAATTTAAAACCATTGGATAATGTCTTAGTATGATAGTTCAAACTATTTTAGTAGTTTATTTCAATAACATTTAAAACTTGTCTTTTAGAAACTAGTATGTTACTAGTGGCAATAATTAATTCAACTAAAATTTCTATTTTCAAGGACTGTTAAAGACAACCTGATGAATTCATAAATTCTTTTTTAAGTTATACATTTCATCAAATTCTCTCTAATGTATATATTTTTTTTTTTAAATGTATTCTTAAACTTTGTGATGTCAACAGTTACCTTTAAAGAAATAAATTTTTTTTTTTAGCTACAAAGTTTAACACATTAAAGTTAAGCATAAAAAAACTCAAAACCAAAAGTTTTATATTTAAACCTATTAACATATATATAAAGTTTTTCACTTTAGGTCTTTGGATCAAATTTTTATTCTTTTTCAACCAAATATTTAGCTCTTGTTATTTATTGTAACTATAACACATTATAATTATTCTTTCTCCACCAACTAAGCAATTTGTTGTTGCTAGCAGCCTTGTTAGGATTGAATTAGAATTTTTAGAAAAATCACTAAAATAATTTAATGGAAAATCATACTGTTAATAGAAAAATTGTATTTTTAAACAATTTTTTATACAAAAATGATAACTTTTAAATCTTTACTATAATGAAGATTTAAAATCATTAATATATATATATATATATATATATATATATATATATATATATATATATATATATATATATATATATATATATATATATATTCATTTTTTCAGTAAAAATGGTAACAATCGTTGGTTACACCCTCATACAGATCTCAAAAACATTCCGGGGGTGCCAGTGTCTGACACTTATTTTGACCCTTGATATACATATGTGTGTACACATGCATATATATACACGTGTATACATGCACACACACATGCATATATATATATATATATATATATATATATATATATATATGTATATATATATATATATATATATACATATATACATAATATGTATATACACCTGTACACACGCACACACACACACATATATATATACATATATACATCATATATATACATATATACACATATATATATATATACATATATACATATCTATACACATATATACATATATATATATACATATATACACATATATATAAATACATATGCGCACAGTTATATATATATATATAT